ATCAAGTTCATACTTTTCACATCTTTAAACTTTGGAAGATAATCAAATCAAGTTCATACTTTTCACATCTTTAAACTTTGGAAGATAATCAAATAAGTTCATACTTTTCACATATTTAAACTTTGGAAGATAATCAAATCAAGTTCATACTTTTCACATCTTTAAACTTTGGAATATAATCAAATCAAGTTCATACTTTTCACATCTTTAAACTCTGGAAGATAATCAAATAAGTTTATACTTTTCACATCTTTAAACTTTGGAAGATAATCAAATCAAGTTCATACTTTTCACATCTTTAAACTTTGGAAGATAATCAAATCAAGTTCATACTTTTCACATCTTTAAACTTTGGAAGATAATCAAATCAAGTTCATACTTTTCACATCTTTAAACTTTGGAAGATAATCAAATCAAGTTCATACTTTTCACATCTTTAAACTTTGGAAGATAATCAAATAAGTTCATACTTTTCACATATTTAAACTTTGGAAGATAATCAAATCAAGTTCATACTTTTCACATCTTTAAACTTTGGAAGATAATCAAATAAGTTTATACTTTTCACATCTTTAAACTTTGGAATATAATCAAATCAAGTTCATACTTTTCACATCTTTAAACTCTGGAAGATAATCAAATAAGTTTATACTTTTCACATCTTTAAACTTTGGAAGATAATCAAATCAAGTTCATACTTTTCACATCTTTAAACTTTGGAAGATAATCAAATCAAGTTCATACTTTTCACATCTTTAAACTTTTTTTTTCACAGAGAAACGAAAAAAGAAATACGCAGCTTTTTTGTTGTTGTTTTGCAATGGTATGAAATGAAACAAAAATGGTTTGAAAAGTTCTATTATATCTGATATTATGTTCTAACTGTAAGGGATGGCTCTTGGCCTTCTAATTATTACATTATGTTTTAATTTCTTACGATGCAGGTGGTAATCAGCTCCCAAAGTCTGTGTCCTGGTTTTGTCAAGATGCCCTCTGTAGACAGACTTTGAAGACACCGTCATTTGGCAAGCATCTCTTTTATCTTCATTCATCCGTGAAATGATCAAAGATAGGAACTTGATTCTCTGCATCTCAATTTTGATTGGCTACGTTCAAGTTTAAAAACAAAAGAAGAAGAGGTCACGTTGACATGCTGGTACACAAACATACACACAAATGCTAACATTTAAAAAAAAAGTTTTTGCACAAATTTTGTTCCTTTTTTTTTTTTGTTTGTGTGTCTATACTCCAATGTTTATTTTTTTAAATATTTAAGTCAAGAAAATATTGCATTTAATCTTTCTGGTCAATATTCACAGCGTTTTTTTGAAAGACAAATTGATCACGTGATGGTTTCTTCTCTTCTGAGATTTACTTTAAAGTAATTTCATAGAAAGATTATTTCAGAAATTCTTAGTAAGTCTGTGGGGGAAGTCTTTGGGGGGGGGGGGGAGTCTGTGGGGGAAGTCTTTGGGGGGGGGGGGGGGAGTCTGTGAGGGGAAGTCTGTCTATGAGGGAAAGTCTGTGGAGGGAAGTCTGTGTGGGAAAGTCTGTGGGGGAAGGAGGGTTGAAAGACGTAGTATTACGAGACATTCTATTTTCTTATTGATATGTTCAATCTCATTGTCCAAAACACATTTTTAGTGATGAATTTGATGATGCCGAAATAATCAAATCACTCATGAATAGGAGTTACAATTAAATAAAGCAGAAATTCTCAAAAGACAAAAGTATTTCTAAGTTTTTTTGTTGGCGATCTATTGACATATATATATATATACATACACACATATAAGGCTTGTCTCATATTAAATATTAGAGATTTAAAAAAAAGAGATAGAGAGAGAGAAAGGACATAATGACTTATCCTCATATGACACGTCATGTGGGTGCCGGATGGTATAGTAATGCCAGGGCCGATTTAGGCAACCGGTCAGCCAATGCATACAACATACATGAATGTTATGTGTGCTTTATTCTACAATATACTACACATATATACCACGTAGACTAGATAGAAGATTACAACTCCTATAAAAGAAGGCCGGATTTATGGAAATGCACATAGTTCAGGAGGCCTGAACAAACTAAAAAAGAACTAAAACTTAATAAAATACCTCTAATAAGTATTTTAGACGAAAGGAAATTAATTTCCAATGAAAAGGGACGTTATTGCTTTAGCATTATTTGAATACATTTTCATCTAGGTCTTAATAAAAAGGTAGGGGTTTCCACAAATCCATACTGTCTAGGGCTACACCTTTGCTTAAATCCGGCCCTGGCTATGAAGTTGATATATAAGCATTTTGAATCGCACACTCTAAGATTACGAGCTGTTAAATACTTAAGATGATTTCCTGTCCCATGGTCTTGACATGCAGACAAGAAACTCAATCTTAGCCCCGGTCAGGTGGCGATGTAAACAAGATCACATCCTCACTCCTGATTTCAATGCCAAAAACAATCATGAAAATTAAATTTACAATATAAAAAAAAAAGTCTTTTGTTAATGTCCTACAATTTGTTGATATAACACCCGAGGTCTGCCAACAGAAAAATCAAGAGGGGGAAAAAAGTTTGGCAATGAAAATCCTATTTCGGAATGGCGCGAGTACCACTCGATCCAATGTTGAGCAATGAACGTCCCATGTTGGAATGGTGCGAGTATCACTTGTCCCCCCGTGGTGGCCAGAAGAGATGATGGGGGTGTGAGGGGGGGGCGCGTCGGGGAGTAAAGAAGGGAGACAATTTTTAGTATTGTATGAGGAAATTCGATAACTGAAAAATGTTGTCAAACTGCACACTGAGGGAGCGGAGCGCCCTCCCTCCGACAACATCCTCCACAACATCCTCTTAACTGCTGGGAGGGATGCCCAAGCACGCGCCGCGTGTGCGCGCGCATAATTCAAGCCAAGATGGCGTCCACCGGAGCGGCTTGCAGTCGCGTGGAGGTTAACCGCGCACATTTATCGCTATTAGACGAGAAGGGGCTTGGTCATAGCTGTCCTTCTTCCACGCCGTCTCTGGTGTCATTCACTTGGTCATGTGACCTTCTCAGCCTAAAAACCTTTTTACTTTCTTCTTTTGAACAAAAAAATTCTAGCTAAATTTAATGAGATTTTTTTTTCTTAATGATCTTGAAGTGATCTTCCCACTCTTAGCTAGGACACGGAAACCTAGAATCTTAGAACTAACCTAGAAGTTAGATTATTTTTTTATTTTTTTTACTTTCTTTGTTCAACGATTAAGAAATCATATTGACCCCTCCCCTTAAAAAAAAAAGAAGTTTTATTTTTTAGGTTGTTACTTGTGCGATTCCTAGTTGTCACATTACGATGTCTCTATTTGCTCAACAGGGCGAGAACATCAAATTTAGCAGCTCGTCCACTAGATCGAGTAGAGCTCCAGACGAGTAGCGCGAGACCGTGAGACAACATACTCGTGCACGTGGATTCCGCTAGGTGGCGTGCAGATGATAGAAGGATGAGTACCTGAGATGCTTTTGAGTGTGTATGAGAGTGAGAAAGGGGTGCGGAGGAAATAAAAACTTAAAGGAGTGAGGGGGTAAAGTTGGCATGGCAAGGGCATGACGTCGCATATAGACTCTATATCACGTGACACAAAAGGAGCCAATAGAAATGGAAACAATTTGTTGACATTGGGTGTTCACGTCAAGTATCGAAAACGGATTCAATGACAATGTGACAAAGCATTCTGTGACAAATATCGATACAAAATATCAATGTATCGATACTAGATTGATTGACCTTATCAGATATAATGGTCTGCGATTTATACCTTGAAAATTTATTGCACCATAAAAATAGAAAGAAAAGAGATTCTAGTTAGCTGCTCTCAGCCTTAGAGAACTTCAAGTCAAGCTGAAACATCAAAATATTTGTCAATTGTGTCGACAACGAATGTTAACAGCTAACTAGAGCAATACTTATCAATCTAATCACTTATTTCACTGGCCAGGACAGGGAGGCAAAGAAGTATATCTCGACAATGGTTTGGGGCCCGTGGGGCTTGAACTCTATAGGGGCCCCTGCATTTTGACATTCGACATCATAACACGAGATAGTGGCGTAGTATTTAATGTAAAAACAAATTTCGGACACTCACTTGTGGACCTCTTTCAAATGGGTGCCAGAAGGGAAAATGTTTAATTTGGATTCTCCCTCCGCCCCCCCCCCCCCAGCTACCCCACTGTATCTAAATTTACATCAAGCATTACAATGTAGAAATAAAATCTTAAGAAAGACTCACAATGACACACACACACACTCGTACACATATAATCGGTGGCTTGTAGTAAGACACACAGTGCTATTCCTGAGCTGACCAGTCAATGTGCAGATTATGTGGTAGGGTCAGCATCAATACTGCTTTCTGTTGTGCAACAATAAATACTTACTTAAAAGCTAGAATAAAACAATGTTCAATGCCTTAAAGCTATTTTTTTTGGTGCTTATAGCGGTGGGAGCCAACCGAACATAAAAGACTACATTAAAATTATTTTTATCTTCAAGTAGATCGGGTTAGATTGTGTTGTGTGTTGGAGTCCTGGTACAGCGCTTAGTGCAGTGACCCTTAATTGGCTTACCTTACCTTAATGTTTTTGAAATTGTTTCCATTGGATATAGTACAGCATTATGAACTATGTTTAGACTCGTTATAAATAGCGTTATAAATGCCTTTAGTTAGTCTAGATCCATTACAAATTTAATTACAGGACGGATCCATACAAATAATAGTAAGTTACACTTAGGCTTTTTTTTAAAAAAGTATTTATTATGTTTTTCATGTTTGTTTGTCTTTCAATAATGGTAAAATGTTTAATTTACGCAGAATTTTAATGTGTGAATTTGAAGAAACCTTCGGAGTTTCCCTTTAAGTTTTTTTTTTTTCAAATACCTCTGAAGTCATAACCTCATGGAGTGCGAAACCTGGACGCTGATCTCAAAAACGGCTCTAACGATTTTTCTAGAGATTTAATAGTTGATGTAGCATATATCGCTGGAGAAAAAATTACTAGCTCTTCGACCGTTATAATTTTTCAACTTAAAAAAATGAAATATATTTAAATTTGGCTAGAGATCTATACGTAAGTATATATCTAATATCGGCTTTGAAAAGGCTTTCGCGTTCTTGAAATGACTATCGCTTTCAAGAATTTCCACCCAGAAAAAAACCCCCATCTATTTAGAGTAACACAAAAATACTAAAGCAAATAAAACTACTTCGGTGGTAAAGTCACACACAGACTCACAACTCAACATGTCTAGGTGTAATAATAAATGAAAAGTTATCATGAGATCTACGTATTGATGAATTTATTTAAAAAATCAAGCAAAACATGAGAGTTTATTAAAAGAAAGCTTTACAAATCAAACAAGAACGTTAAAATAAAATGCTATTTAACTTTAGGCCAATATTAAAATATCCATACTCCTAAACTCAATAAAACATAAAGAAACTTGAACAAATACTACAGTGAGATTTATATCAAGATTCAATAACAAATATCCACATTTGATTAGAGTAACAACTTGAGTCAAATCACTAAACCTATAGACACTTCAGGACAGAAGAATAAAAAGTAAAGTAGCTGTAATACATAAAACACAGAACCATAATTTACAAATAGAAAAACTAAACCTAATAAATACTCAGAAAGACACAAATTTAGAGGCACATTTCTAATTCCATGTTCTAGGACGAATTCGTTTAAGTGCTCCTTCTTCCTTACTGTCATCAGAGAATGGAATGGGTTGCCTGAATCAGCCAGGAAAACCAACGACTTAGCAGAGTTTAAGTCATTGATTAACATGCATGACTAGATTGACACATGAAATGCGTAGGACGTTAAGTCTGTAACATAAAAGATAAGACTTACACCTGACCTACGTACAGCTCATTTAGAGCTAACGTACAGCTGATTTACAGCTGACATTCTAACAGCTGATTTACAGCTGACATTCTAACAGCTGATTTACAGCTGACATTCTAACAGCTGATTTACAGCTGACATTCTAACAGCTGATTTACAGCTACATTCTAACAGCTGTGTTTACAGTTGACGTTCTTAAAGCTGACTTACAACTGATTTACAGAGGACTTACAGATTACTTGCAGATTAAATCATAGTTGCTTTACAAGTGCTTTATAACTGATTTACAGATGACTAACAATAGAATAACAGATGACCTACAGATGACTGACAGCTGACTTACAATTGACTTACAGCTGCTGTATGATTACAAGGTCAGGCAGACGTCATGACAAAACAGAAAGCTCTAACTTTTTTTTTTCCTCGGCTAGAAGCCTGTCCAATGGGACCGGACCAGCATCCCTCCATGTCCCGAGAGATGTCCGCACTAGCTGATGGCTATCACGCAATGCATTCATTCTTTCCCACAGAAAGTCCTAATTGAAACTGACACAGATATTGCAGCTAAGAACTTGTCAAATAGAAATGGAACCGAGAGGAAGTCTAGAAAAAAAAAATGGGGGAAAGGGGGTAGCAGCTCTTTGACAATCGACATCTTTTTGTGGTTATAATACCATGCAAACATTTGTTCTTGCCTTTAGAAAAAAAAAATTATTAAAATTTATAACAAATGGCATAATAACTTGTATTATCACCTTGTTTATTTATTTCCACTTACTCCGACTGTCTTTTTGTCCATCTCGTTCAAATCTTGTTCAGGTCATTTCTCCCACTTCCCGGTCTCGGATCAAGTCGAAACTTGGCGTCATTATTTTGAATCTCTGCCGTTCCATTGATGGCAGGCAAATTTACAGATCTAGAACGTGAATTTTCGGATAAAATTTTATTTTGAGTGTTCATGTTTCCATTCATTCTGCATGGAAAGAGTAGCGACCTCTCACTATCCATGAATTTAGAATATTTGTGAAAGAATCGCATTTTATTTGCATAAAAATCGAGTAGCCATTACCTTTATCTCAAGAAAGACTAGTGGTCATTTTATTTTTGGTAAGATACTATTATATCACTAATGTTTTCCGACCATTGAACAGGAACCAGCTAAGTGGTCATCGATAAAAAAATTGATTGTTTTCATCTTGACACGTACGTCTTGGTCACTTTTATAATGTGCAACTCAATCGTCCCTTGACCACTAGTGATGCGCGGTAACTGGATATTAATAAACTGCTTGCAGGGACCAGGCTTAGGGACACATGATCCTAATCAGGGCTTTTACTGAGACATTAAGACAAGCGACTACTATTCACCCCCCCCCCCCCTTTTCCACAAAGCAAATAATCAAAGAATTAAAGCCACTATTGAATTCAATAATCATAACGGCTAGTGTTCATTTTCCTGACCAGTGGTTTGTAGGCGATTCGTCATATACAACAATAGTGACTAGAGTCGAGCAAAGTGGTTAAGTGTTAGTGACCACTGTCCATATTAATGTATTGAGCTGTTTTATTCCAAAATGACCATTCCTGTGGCCATTTATGGTAGGAAGGATGAGACAATGTATAATTATTCCATTACTTTTTATAGAAGTAGCTGACCACAGAATGGACAATCTTGGGGTATGACCATTAGCCAGACACTGAAGAGTATTAGTGTCGGTACTTCCCTTAGCTTGACATAGATACAAGAGGTCAGCCTCGTTTTATGCGTGATGCACGGTATCTCGAGTGTCACCCTAAGTACTTTGATGAAGTGGACCAAGAGACCAAGTAAGTAGAGTGTACAGCAAACAGTCACGCATGATTGAATTGAAACAATGAGAAAGCTGGTAGATATGAATACTGTTTCAGCTAAAAATTAGTTGTAAACAGCTAGACTTTGTGAGCCTCCTAGTAGACACCTTGAAGTTTAAAAAAAAAATTCTGGTCAGATGAGCTCGTATAGATATTTTTGTGATATTTAGTTTCATTTAATTAACCAACCGCTTTCCATCGACATGACGCGAGACCATTCCAGATTATTACTAAAATTTCCCATAAGTCTCGTCTAAATGTGTTGGTCAAGACCATTTATTGTACCATTGCACTCGTTGAGTACCATACCATACCAAGTCGACTTAAATAGATGTCTTTCCATTTTTTTAAAAACAGAAACCTGATATTTGTCCGAAATATTGTGTGAGTGTGAGAATAGTACTGGAAAGGGTACTGCGTGAAGTAAGGCTAACAACAGAATTGGATTGTTTGTAGAGAGCACATATTTCAATGTGATTGTGTCAATATAACAGCTTTCTAAAGGTAACTGTTTCCAAAACGTTTCCTTAACTGAACACTTTGCACATTCTGAGTATTTAACGAACACAGTTTGGGAAACACTGCTACATAGCAACAACAAACAAATTCTTTTAGTATCCTAAATTTAGATGTTAATTTAATATATCCTCATTTTCACCTCAGATTTTCGTTTATTATAGAAATCCTTGCGGCGGGTGTGAAATAACATTAGAGTTTACAAACCAATGTGGATGTAAAGCAATATTTGAAAGACCCCTGTTTAAAGCGCATACCTATTACATGGAAATATTCTTGCAGCAACATACAGGACAATTAAACATCTTTGCTAGCTGTCTAAAACAGCTGTTCTATAAGTTTTCGAAGGTCTTTCTCAGAGAAATAGAGATGATTTTCATTCATAAAAAAGGAGAACCTTATTTAAGAGAAGTACAAGAGATCTCCAGAGGGCCTACACTTCTTCGTGAACAAGGGCGCCACAAACTTAAAAACCTCGGGTCTAAAGTTTGCGCTTGCATCGAAAACATCGTCATTAGTGATGTTATGTGAATTGATTGTGGAAACTAGCACAATCATTTTCTCAACAACAACCCTAACGTGTATCAGTAAACTTGGTGACCAGTGACCACAACCGCCTCACACATCGACTAAGGTTGGGTTCCATACCCCGCCGTCCTCCGCTGACACTCTGCTCACATTTCCGACGGGTTTCCAGGGCAACGTGCTAACTACGTCACTTGGCATATGACTAAGAACGATCACCCTGGGAGCGGGTCTGTTTCAAATCTAAGCAGTTTATGACGTCCCTTGGGTAGAATCAAAGCGGCCTGAGATTCCTCTGTAGTGTTCTTCCATTCCCAAATATTTCTCCAACAAACTGGCTTCATTCACGGTCTGGACACTGGTCCACGGACATTTAAGGGACCAATTTACGACCAACGTAAAGTCTAACATTGGGCCGGCAGTAAATAACAGCTGACTTTAAATACATGTAGGTCTTTACATAGTGGACTATATTGGTTCTCGTCTCTACTTCGAAAACAAGTAATTTTTTTTTATCTCTTTTAAAAATTGTTGAAATTATTTCCATTTATTCTTCTCTCAGCAGTAGACATGGACGTGAGTAAGTATTTAGAGGGGCCCTAAGAAAGATTTGACAACAAATGGAGAAACCTTCCATCTTCAATAACATTACTAAATCGAAGCATCTCAATGCAGCGAAGTATTAAGAATAATAGAATACACAGGTCAGTGTGTGCGGAGATGTATCAATCAAAAGGTTTGAATAAGGTCTAACCTTTTTTGACTTCACCTTTAGGCAGGGTATGGGAGAGGGGCTTTTGTTCGCATCTTGATAGAATTGTTTTTGAGACATTTTGGATATTTTTATTGTAATACATCATAGAACCAATCGATGGGAATATTCACTGGGTAATTAAAACATAAGAATTAATTTTGATTAGAATTGAGTAGAATATCATTTAAATAACAAGAAATATTTTACGTAAAACTTAAAACACACACACATACAATTTACGCTTAATTCTGATAATTACATTGTATTCAACCTTACCTAGAGTAGACATAATATTCATATAGGGCCTGTATCTTATATTATGAAGTTGGAGACATTTTTCGGGTGGTTACCATGGTAGCAGTCGACAGCAATGGTTGTAAACAACATCTGGTATTAATAATAAAAATGTAAAAAAAATAAATTAACTTCTTTGAATCTTGTGCAGTGAGTAATGAGTCTTCTAATGTTAGTTGTGTAATTACATTCATAATAAAAAAAATTAATGGTCGATAGCATTGCTTTGAAAAATCAGCAGACGTCAAGCAGAAGACAGATGAGGCACTTCCGGCATTTCACATTAAATTGGCTCCACATTGTCTTGGTCTTTTTTTTTCTGTATTGCTTCGTATGGTTTAACAAACACAAAGAAATATGATATAAGAGAAATGGATATCTCTCTCTCTCTCTCTCTCTCTCTTTTTCTCTCTCTCTTTTTCTCTCTCTCTCTTTCTTTCTCTCTCTTTCTCATTCTTTCTGTTTTCGTGAATCCGTTCGTTTACGAGTATGTATGTGTCTAAGTTATATGTAATGGACAGGAAGGACCTACCATTATATAGAACATTAATGTATTATATCGATAATGCCTTTTATAAAATACTCTGGCCAATCTTGATAAGTGCGGTACAGAAGCTGATGTAACTATAAGGACCAAAGCATGACGAAACTTACTGAAGATAAGAATGACACATTTTACAGAGGTGCTGACTGGAAACGCCAAAACCAAAATGCAGGCGCCCCTAATCACATGTTATGGAGTGTATGTGTGTATGTTTCTATGGTGATGAAGGGAAGAGTTTAGCGATTGGTTGCGAATTATACAACATCGGTGGCATTGTCGTCATTTGGTCTTAATCAGGACAGACGACTCCAGAACGTGAGACTGAAAGGTTGTGTTATTGTAATGAGTTAAATTTTGTTAAGAAATAGTGTTACTTAAGTCTAGTACATTTATTTTATCTCATATCAACATGATTTAGTCTGTATTATAATTAAAGTTATATTTAGTTTTGTTCTCACAGTAGTTATTCTAGTTATTTTAAATTTTATTAGTTAAGATATATTAAGCCTACAACGGTTTATTTGTCTACCAGCAGTTTGGTGCTACAGGTCAACGCCCGTCAACAGCATTCACGAGTACGGTGTCTTGATGACGTAGAGGCAGGTCTACAACAGCTGAGAGTCCGGGCCTGGAGACGTAAAGCCCAGGATAGATCAGAATGGAGAGATGTGCTAGAGCAGGCCAGGGCCCTACATGGGCTGTAATGCCTCTGTGATGGATGCTAACAGGAAACGGTTTTACTTAAGACCAGCAGAAAACTTCTACTGGCATTAAGAACGCGAGATAATAAGTGGCTTCCGTGTTGACATTGTGTTTTATGTGTATGTGTTTGTTATCAGTATGTAGAGTTATTCCCCTTGGTAAGAAAGTTCATATCAGAGTGTTGTGTGTAACCTCGTACTATGAGGGTGTGTAAATAAATAGACTGATTAATGTAGTGGTATAGTGTTGGCGTTGTTTATGGTTATTAAGTGTAGCGTTTTCTAGTTTAACAAGTGGTAGCAGAGCGTGTAAGTAAAAGTATTGACTTAGTGGATCCTAGTTCAAGTGATAATGGCTACAAGAATTGAGATTCCATCCTTTTTGAAAGAGAATGTCTGAGGAAGTAGGTCAGACTGAATGAAATCACGGAGCTCAAGAGAAGAGAGCGACTAGAGCCGTAGAGCCCTTTCATTACCACAAGGCAGTGAGTCAAGGATTAGAGAGAAGGTATTGGAGCAATTAGAGCTGTCGGAGCTCAAGTGTCAGGAAGGTTTCCAGAATCTGTTAAAGTTTCTTGACAAGAACTTGGCTAAAGACGACCTGGCACACAGTCTTGATAAATTTGATGATTTTGAAAACTTCAGGCAAAGGGAAAATCAATCCAGCATGATTTTATTTCAGAGTTTGATACAAATCATAGGAGATTAGAACAGAAACGAATGAAGATGTTACCTGAGATTCTGGCCTTCAAGCTGCTCAGAAAGGCAAGAATTACGCAAACTGAGAAGATGCTAGTTCTAACAGGTATGAACTTTGCTCATCGGGAGACACTGTATGAAGAAGCAAAGGCATCTCTTAGAAATTTCAAAGGAGAAGTTAGTAATGGGAAAAAGTTCGATGCCTGTATCAAACTTGAGCCAAGGTATTTGTCTGAGAACGAGGAGGCTTTACTGGCGGCTGGCTATCAGAAACATGAATCGTTGAGCAGTTTGGGAAGACGAGTTGAACAACAATTCAACAACAGCAGACGTGAAAACTTCCAGAGCTTTGAAAGACGAATTAAAGAGCAGTTGAAATCTACCAGCAAGCCGAAAGTGGAACATCATGAAAGTAGACTATATAAAGGTGGAAGTCACTTTAGAGGTGAAGGTCAAGTCAGACACATTGCTCGATATCAGTTCTCTCAACCAAGAAAGAAAGATTTTAACCCATTAGGCCGTGATGGAAAAGTTTTGAGATGCTTATCTTGTGGGTCATATAGGCATCTTTTGTCTAAAAATGAAGAAGCAAGGTGACAGTCTGACAGTCATATGAAAGTCTTTTGGTGGGACAGCTTACCACCATAACATCCTCAGAACAATTGAATCCATTCATGGCGTCTTTTAAGCCTTACATTCTTAGGAAGTATGGCTCCATACCTAATGTTTTACCCCCTCCCCCCTATCCTCAGGACATTTTTTATTCCTAGTCAATCCTATGTCGACAACCCTTTTGACTCCATTCTACGTGCATAGTTTAACAGTTAAGTTGTTTTCAACTTACAGCCAATGTTTGACCAAATACGAAGGTACACGAATCGCAGTGATGAGTGACCAAGGCCCTGCATTACCAAACATCAAATATGAATGCTGATCAGTTGAGACGGCACATAAAGAAGACTGGCTGAAATCTGGGGGTTTCTTATTAACAATCATTTGTATATTGTACAATACTATGTACCGTATTATTTTGCTCTCATTGTTATGATACTTGTTCTTGGTTTTATTTTCGCTTCACACTAGTACTTTGCATACGTTT